CGTGCTGTTTATTTTTCTCTGACTGGCTTATTTCGCTTAGCATAATGCTCTCCAGTTCTCCATGCTGTTGCAAAAGGTAAAAGTTCCTTCCTTTTTATAGCAGCATAGTATTCCATTGTGTAGATGTACCCAGTTTTTTAATCCACTCATCTGCTGATGGGCACTTAGGCTGTTTCCAAATCTTAGCTATTGTAAGTTGTGCTGCAATGAACACAAGGGTGCATATATCCTTTCTGATTGGTGTTTCCAGTTTCTTGGTATATATTCCTTGAAGGGGGATAACTGGGTCAAATGGGAGTTCCTTTTTTAACTTTTTGAGGAACTCCATACTGTCTTCCATAGTGGCTGCACCAGTTTGCATTCCCACCAGCAGGGCACGAATGTTCCTTTTTCTCTGCATCCTCTCCAGCACTTGTCATTTGTTGATGATAGCCATTCTGACTGGTGTGAGATGATACCTCATTGTTGTTTTGGGGTGAGGATTTTTTTAAAAAATTCTATCAGCTGAGAGGGCTTAGAAGCAATGCCCCCATCCCCAGCAGCAATGAGCACACCCAGTACCTAGACCTTGGTTTCCCAATGCCCTTCTGCAGAAAAGGGAACCCAGGCTCCTCGGTTGATTCTAGTACTGGGGTGGGGAAAACACAAGATGAGCTTAGAACATTTTGTGGCACCAGAAAGTAAGAAAAACAAACAAATGGAGTCATATCAAAAGAATAGTGCCTGAGCCGAAACTGGTTTGGCTCAGTGGATAGAGCGTCAGCCTGCGGACTAAAAGTTCCCAGGTTCGATTCTGATCAAGGGCATGTACCTTGGTTGCGGGCACATCCCCAGTAGGAGATGTGCAGGAGGCAGCTGATCGATGTTTCTCTCTCATCGATGTTTCTAACTCTCTATCTCTCTCCCTTCCTCTCTGTAAAAAATCAATAAGAAAAAGAGAAAAGAATAGTGCCTGAAATAAAATGCTTATACACGGCCAACTGAAAGCTCTCAGTGGCCAAAGCTGGAACAATGTGGACAACAAAATAAGTAACAATAGTATGGATTCTAACCCAAGACTATGGTAAGATAACTGTTCACAAATCCATATGGGTATAAAGAAAAGATTGAATAAGCAAATCAATGGAGACAACTCTTCCTTCCAGAAGAATTCCAAATCCTATCTAATAAAGAGGTAGTATGCAAATTGACCATCACGCCAACACACAAGATGGCTACCCACATGTGGACACAAGATGTCCGCCACAAGATGGCCGGCAGGGGAGGGCAGTTGGGAGTGATCAGGCCTGCAGTGGGGAAGAGTTGGGGGGGACCAGGCCTGAAAGGGAGGGCAGTTGGAGGTGACCAGGCCAGCAGGGCAGGGCAGTTGCGGGTGACCAGCCTGGCAGGGGAGGGCAGTTAGGGGTTGGAGGTGCAGGCCAGCAGGGCAGGGCAGTTGCGGGTGACCAGCCTGGCAGGGGAGGGCAGTTAGGGGTGACCAGGCTGGCAGGGAAGGGCAGTTAGGAACAATCGGGCCAGCAGGGGAGCAGTTAGGTGTTGGTCAGAGGGGCATGGGAGTGGTTAGGGGGTGATCAGGCTGGCGGGCAGAAGCTGTTAGGGGCAATCAGGCAGGCAGGCAGGGCGCAGTTGGGGGCGACCTGGCTAGCAGCAAGGGGCAGTTAGGGGCAATCAGGCAGGCAGACAGGTGAGCAATTAGGAGCCAGTGGA